GCCCGTGTGCAGTGAGTCCCTGTGAGATCAGCAGTCCCCCACACTTAGCCGGTGGTGCTGGACTCAGCTGTGCAGGCAGAATCACACATAGACCTTCTGACCACTTTGGAAGAGGGCCCACCAGGACCGGAGGCGTTAGCCCAGCAGGAGAGGGGCTTGTCTGTGTAACCTCCCCAGGTTATTTTACGTGGGGCCACAGCAGAGACCCACTGCCCTCTCCAGTCGGGGCGTCCTTACCCTTATTTATTTATTCATTTTTTTGAGGAGAATTCTTATTTTTATATGTACTTTATTGACTTCACAGAAAACTGGAGACGGAGCGCGAAAGAGAAACGCCAATGATGAGAACCATTGATTGGGCTCTCTCCTGGACACCCCGCCATTGGGGATGGAGGCCACAACTGGGACATGGGCCCCAACCGGAAGCCAACCATAACTGCCTGGTTCTGGTTCATAGGTTGACACTCAGCCACTGAACCAGGCCGGACCAGGCTCGGGTGCCGGTGAAACTGCTTGTATCAAGAAAAGAATGGTATTGCTGGGTTAGTTAGCTTCAAGGTATTCTTTGAAACTATTGGAGAAGTTGCTAAGAACTGATAACTGAAAATTTGAGAATGACTTTTATGACCTAATGGAACCCATTTTTTTCTTTCAACCCTATGCCAAGGATGTGCTTACTGATTTGAGAGAGAGAATCATTGATGTGAGAGAAAAGCATCAATTGGTTGCCTCTCATACACACTCCCACTGTGCCCTGACCGGGATTTGAACCGACAGCCTTTCCGTGTAGAGAATGATGCTCCAACAAACTGATCCACACTGACCATGTCGTGGAACCAATTTTAAAAATATATATATATTTTATTGATTTTTTACAGATCAGGAAGGGAGAGGGATAGAGAGTTAGAAACATCGATGAGAGAGCAACATCAATCAGCTGCCTCCTGCACACCCCCTATTGGAAATGTGCCCTACAACCAAGGTACATGCCTTGCCCGGAATTGAACCTGGGACACTTCAGTCCACAGGCCGACGCTCCATCCACTGAGCCAAACTGGTCAGGGCATGGAACCAATTTTTAGGAAGAAAACTTTGTTACTCCTAACCTTTGTGCATATCCGTGGTCCAAAATACAGCTCAGTCCATGGGAGTTCATGGAACACCTTGATGACTTGGCGTTGATTGAATGAGATGCAATGTGTGCAATGTGCTCATCACTGTGCCAGGCTTGTGCTCACTCTTCTGTGGTTTCAGTTGGCCTCATCCTGTTTTCTATCTCATTCTTATGTATTTTCCTTAAAGTAGCTCTAGGCTCATAAAGTTTGCATCGTTTCTCTAAAATGTTGGCCCTGAAAATTGGGAGCAGAGAGTTTCAAATTTTATCATCCAGTTAATATCTCATTGCCATAAATTCATCAATTCAACTGGTCTTGAATCTTGATTTGCATAATGATAACGAAATAATTTTCAATATATCAAGACTCCTTAAATTATATGTTATTTGCTGTGTTCTCAGTTCAGGTCACTGCATCTATAAATTTGTTTCCAGGTTAGATCACATTTGTTGGATATTAATTTAAATCCCACAAATGAAGGCGGTTAGATTTATGGAATAGCTTCTATACGAGGAATTGATTGAGGTAGTTATGAAAAAGTAACCCCTTTAGGTGGAATTTTTTTTTTCATTTTTGTTCTTTTGTTTGGGGGCAGGAATAGACTATTGGGGACTCGCTATGATTACAAGGAATATTAATGGTGCTCTGTTAACCGTGATTGTTCTGTTCTAACTAGAGAAAGCACGTTCTAATGTGGTGGAGAATTGTCCGCCCTGGGACATGGGAGCTAACAAGGGAATGCAGGCCACCCTTCTTTCCTGGAATGACCTAGATCAGCAACCTCGTTGGCTGTAATCTGGTCCAGGAGCCAAAGCTCTCTGCCAACCCCCAGCCCGAATTGCCTGTAACCTGTAACCACTATACCTTCCTACTTTCCTGGGTCTGAAGTTTCTACTTTCCCATGGGATCTTTTTCCTTCTACCCAAGATAAGCAGCTGGCTTATGTGCACCGGGGGGCAGGGGGTAGAGCAGACGTTTGTGAGTGACCTGCTGCTCTCCCCTTCTGCTGCATTCATGGAATAAACGCTCATACATAAGTCAACCCTGTCTCTGCTTCATTGGCTCAAGGAGTGACCAGCAGCCCGGACCCATTGCTTGTCCAGTTTCACTTTCAGTAATTTTATTTTTTAATATATTTTATTGATTTTTTACAGAGAGGAAGGGAGAGGGATAGAGAGTTAGAAACATCAATGAGAGAGAAACATCGATCAGCTGCCTCTTTCACACTCCCTACTTGGGATGAGCCCGCAACCAAGGTACATGCCCTTGACCAAAATCGAACCTGGGACCCTTCAGTCCGCAGGCCAATGCTCTATCCACTGAACCAAACAGGTTAGGGCTTCAGTAATTTTATAACAGACATTGGAGCTGGATAATTCATCTAAATGCTAATCAGTACTCCCCCCCCCCACCCCATCTAAGTCCAAAGATTTCATCTACTTTAAACAATTTACATTTATCTTAAATTAAGAATGAGTTTTTTTAATTAACCCAAGTAAAACCATTACTAGTTTAGAAATAATTGATTGACAGCCTAAATGTTTAAATTCTGTTCTGAGGGTGCCTGTATATTTGTTCTCTAAATGTCTTTCTTGCATGTGCTAATTTAGTATTCCTTGCACAGAAAGCTATGTACAAAGTCCTTTTGTTAAAATATATTCCAGTCTGGCCGGCATGGCTCAGTGATTGAGTGTATCACTATGACCCAGGAGGTCACTGTTTAATACCTAGTCAGGGCACATGCCCGGGTTGGGGGCTCGATCCCCATTATGGGGCATGCAGGAGGCAGTTGACCAATGCTTCTCTCTCATCATTGATGTTTTTCTCTCTCCCTCCCTCTCCTTTCCCCTCTGAACTCAATAAAGATACATTTTAAAAATAAATAAATAAAGTATTTTTCAAATATACAGCTTTACATTGTTCATTTTTCTTATAAATTACACATTAGTGAGTGGTCTGCCAAATTGTTTTTTAGGCAATTGACTGGTGGACTTCAGGGGTTCTTATGTATGAACTATTGACAGTCAATGGGGAGAATTCCCGAGCTGGGCTCTCTAGGTAAGACTTCACAAAATAAAATGAATGTGTTGTTCCCTGAAAGGAACGGATCAAATTTCTGTAATGTGGCAGATGGCAAAAAATAAGTTTTTGAAACGTGGATAGACATATCAGAATGAAGTGGTTAATTTCCATTTACAGTGGTATAGGATCAATACATATAACCTTTATGTTTCTTTATATTTTATGTGCCAGCTAGATCTTAAGCTTCATGGGGAGGGTGTCCTAATTTTTGTGTATTCCAAAGCAGTTAGCATGGGGCATGAGCCTCTGGCAGAGCTGTTTAGAATGCGGGGCCTGAGCAGTTTGGTTGGGGGGCCATGGAGACAGTGGAATGTTTGGTGCGGAGTTGGTGGGCGTGGAGTCGGTGGGCGTGGAGTTGGAGGGTGTGGAGTTGGTGGGTGCGGAGTTGGTGGTGCGGAGTTGGTGGTGCGGAGTCGGTGTGAATCGTCAGTGTGTGAAGAGTCGGTGTGAAGAGTTGAAGTGAGAAGAGTCGGTGGTCGTAGAGTCGGTGAGTGCAGAGCCTCTTCCTGTGTGAGAAGGGACTGTCCCTGCCACCCCCTCGGGGCTCTTGTGAGGAGTGAATGTGCAAGGACAGAGGGCACCTGGCGCAGGGCCGGGGATGGGCAGAGAGACGGTGCCCAGGTGACTCCCGAGTCTGTGAGCAAACCCTTCCCGCTGCCAGGCTTTGACCAGAACCGTGTCCACTGGCGGCAGGTCCACGGCTTCCCTTCTACCAAGAACCTTGGGTTCTGGCCGGTGCGGGAAAGTGAACACGAGATGGAAAAGCAGGAGCTACTGCCCACTCCCAGTTGTTAGAACTGTGCGTGGGGCCAGCCTTGGAAAACTGCCACCGAGAGAAAGGGTCCCATCCCCTGTATGCGTGTTCCCACACTGTGAAGGCATTCAGGGGAGACTCAGACCCCTAGGACACCCAGTGGTTCTGGAAGGGCTCCTGGGGCGGGAGCAGAGATGAGGGGAAAGAGCTGACCGGCTCCGCGTGTGTGCTGGGCCCTGGGACCGGAATAGGCCCCGCGGACTCCTCCCCTGAGGGGGCCTGCGAGGGACCAGCCATGCGTCCCACACCCAGCATGTGCCTGACACCCAGGGGCCCATAGTGCTGTTTGCTGTGCCTTAGCCCTCATTTCCGGGAAACTGCCCAGAGCTGTTGGTTTTCCAAGAGGCTGTGTGTGACCTGTTCACATGGCAACTGGGTGTTGAACAAAAACTCACCCAAACAGCCATTTATTTCCAGCTCCCTGATCAGTGGAGTGACTGTGGAAATGATAGGCCAAGGCTCAGCTCTCACACCCGGGATAGACCTTAGCCCCACCCCTTCCTTCTTTGGGAAATGGGCTCAGCGAAGTCCCACACCTATCAGCAGGTGCACTTGAACAACCAGACGAGGCTGTACATGTCAGACACTCTTGCATCATGTGTATAACAGATGGGGGCAGCTTTAGGTTTATGTGGTGCCCTACTTTGATTTTCTGCCACTGGGCTGGGGCTGTTGCCGACACAGTGACCTGCTGACAGGAAGGGTCATTTGCAAGCTCAGCGGCTTAAATGGGCAACACTTAAGGCCCTCAAAACAGACAGGGCCTGCCCGGTTCGGCCAATGCCCAGGTCTCGTACTCCATGCCCAGGAGTGGCCTGTGGGAGGCAGGTGATCAATGATTCTCTCTCATCATTGATGTGTCTGTGTCTCCCTCTCCTTTGCTCTCTGAGATCAATAAAAGTATATTTAAAAGAAACGTACACATACACACAAACACACACACTCTAGAGGACCAGTGCACCAATTCGTGCACAAGTGGGGTCCCATGGCCTGGCCTGTGAGAATTAGGCTGAAACTGGCTCTCTGACAGCCCCTGAGGAGTCCCGGATTGCGAGAGGGCATAGGCGAGGCAGTGGGGACTCCATTGGTGTATGATCAGTGCGGGGAGGGACACAGGAGGTTGGCTAGTGGTGAGGGACCATAGGAGGGCCCAAGGGCATGTCAGGCCTGTCTAGTTCAGTCCCAATCAGCCAGACCCCAGCAGCAAGCCAACCAGCCAGTTGCAGCGTCTGCCCCCCAGTGTCAGTGCACGTCATAGCAAGCTGTTGAGTGGCCTTAGCATATCATTCGTGTATTATGCTTTCATTGGTTGAATGGATGACCGGACACTTAGCATATTAGGCTTTCATTCTATAGGATGTTAAAAAAACCAAACAAACTGATAGGGCCTGAGTGCTGTGTTGCTTTCTGTAAGGATGGATGTAGGTGGGTGACTGGCAATAAGGGTCTCTGCTGGCAACGAGGATGTGGGCCGAGCTGTGATTTGGGAGTCCCTACGGCCTTTCCAAGACATGGTAAACCAGCTAAGGGGCCTGAGAGCCGCCCGTCCTCCTGTCACCTGCTTTACAGCCCTGTGCTGTGCGTCACTTTGCTCAGACACCACAGAGGCCTCATGGGTCTTCATCACCTACCACTGGGTCAGCATGTCTTTTAGTGGCTGTAGGTCTCCCAGCGGGACCCTGTGTTGGAGTCCCTTCTGTGCAGCTGTGCTCTAGGAAGTGAGCAGGTGCATGGAGGCCCTTCATCCTGGGGAATGAGGGTAGCTGCACTGGGGCGGGGCAGGCCAGCGGGTTCCATGGTGTGCATCTTCACCCACCCCTCTTCCTGCACTAGGATCGTGGACACATCCCCCAGCAGTTCCTTGAGGAGCTGCTGGGGGACATCATGGCCCTCGAGGCTGAACAGGTCCAGAGGAGGAACCAGCCCGCCCACCTGAGCTGGGACCTGGAGCTGCTGATAGAAGGTAGGCAGCAGCCCCTGGCACCGGGGAGCCAGCCTGGCTGTGGCTTCTCCCTCACCCAGGGAGCTGAGCCCTTGGCTCTGAATCTCCTGGGTCAGCCCACCCTCAGCCCAAGTCAGTAGGGTGTGATTCAGGGGCCATTTGGGACCGTTTCATTGCCATTCTCCCCAAGGGGAACATGAGGGGCCTGGCAGCCTTGAAGTCAGGACATGAACTACAAGTAAGTGTTGCCAGATTTCTCAGCGCCCGTGCGGACAGTCCCGGGAGCTTCCAGGTGACAGCACACTGACCCCAGAGGCTGTCTTAGATCTGTCCGTGGGGGATTGAAAGCTCTGGATGGCAGGGGCTTCCCCAGTGCTCACTGACCTGCATTATAACAGAGGCCTGGGCTGATTGCCTCCGTTCCTGTCATCCCCGGGCAGATGGGTGCTGTCTGCTCTTTGTCTCCCTGGGCAGGGGCTGCTCAGTGACCTCTCCTCCCGAAGGACCTCACCCACGGGTGGCAAGTACTCGACACACGCGCCCCCGATCCTCTACCCCCAGCAGACCTACTGGCCAATTACCATGCCTCCCACTCCCCAGCTGAGCCCCCCAGACCCCCGCACTCTGACGGCTGGCCCGGACCATGCCATGTCTTTGCCGACTCTGTGAGTCTCTGAAATCCTTGACTTGACAGTCAGGTTAGAACTTGGCAAAAAGTGGTTCCAGCAGTTCCACCGTCTTGAACTTCTGCTTTGGCCCCTCCACGGTCACCTGCCTTCTTCTTAAGCTCTGGGTGGCTCCCCTACCGGACCCCAGCTGAGCCAGCACAGGGGCCACAACCAACAGCGACAGCAGCTTGTGAACGACACCCAGCTGACCATCCCCGGCCCTCACACCTAGGCCTCGGGGTGGGGGGGTGGCCGTCTGGGTGGATGGTCCTCTCGGGGCCAGAGTCAGAGAGGGGAAGTGGAGGCCCTGGAAGCTGGGCTCTGACTCCACTTTGCTCTTCAGCCTGCACGCGGATCATCGATTTGGAGGAGAATACGGGTACCCTCCAGGGCACAGTAAAGACACTGCAGGAGGAGAACCAGCAGCTCCGGAAGGAGGTAACAGTGGGTGGTGTCCGGAATATACGGGCAAGCCGGTGGCCAGGTGTCCCGTGGGGTGACAGGTTTGGGGTTTGCTTTCAAGCCAAGTTCACTGTGTGACCTGACTGTGGCACGGGCTGGGTCTCTGGCTCTGCAGGTGGCAGAGTTGGGGACCCAACTCACCCAGGACAAGGCCAACAGCCAAAAGGAAGAGCTGGAGGGAGAACCCCCATCTAACATCGCCAACACCGTGAGGCCCTCCAGGGCCACACAGGTAGGCCCTCCAGAGCGCATGCCCCCCTGGCGCCCCCGCCTGCCCGAGGGGGCCTCCGGGATCACAGCCGTGTCCTGGTCATGGATCAGTGACTCCTGGGTGACCAGTGCCCTCGCTCAGCTGCAGCTCAGACCAGCAATTCTCAGCCGCTGCCGGCCGTGGGGGCAGGTGTTGCCTCCCAGGGACACTGGCCATCTTGGTGGTGGTTGACAGGACTGGGGGGAGGAAGAGGGCGGTGCTGCTGGCTGTGCCGGGCAGATGGTTGTTCCGTAAATATCAGGGTCAGTTGGCTGCTAGTGTTGTTCAGATCTTCTGTATCCTGACTGATGTTCTATGTACTTTTTATTTTTCTTTTCTTTTTAAAATATTTTTATTGATTAAGTTATTACATATGTGTCCTTATCCCCACATTACCCCCTATTGGTGGGGGCAGAGAACTCATGCGCTCAGCCCCCTGTTGTCCGTGTCCATTGGTTAGGCCTATATGCTTGCATATAAGTCCTTTGGTTGATCTCTATGTACTTTTTAAAAAATAGGCTTTTACAATGGGTCACAGGGGGCAGCCAAGGAGCTGATCCAGAGAGCGGGCATCCTGTGCCCCTAAAGGTCCCGTGTGTGGAGAGGGTGCAGGGCTCCCGTAGCACCATGTGCTGGTCCGTTCATGCCGTGGGCCCGGCCAGCGCAGTTCCTTCAGTGCTGGGAGAACCGCACTCAGCACGGCTGGTGCTGCCTGCCCCGAGGGTCCCTGCACTTCTGGGGTCTGCACTTGCCCTGCTCTTGGCCCCTCACTGCGTGTGGGGGTGCAGGGATGCGGGGTCGTTGGCTCCCCGGGGCCTTTACCCAATGAGGCATCCTCACCTTTTCCCTCTGGGCAGGAGGAACCTTCCAGTCTGGGCCCCCAGAACCAACAGGGGGCCGAGGAGAGGGAGCTGGGGGAGCAGGAGAAGCAGCTGCCAGAAGTCCAGGAGGCCCTGAAGCAGGAGCAGGAGGCCAAGGCCCTTGCCGCCGCCGCCGCCGGAGAGAACAACGGAGAGAAGGAGAGGCTGCAGCAGGAGCTTCAAAGGTAACCGCCCTGCCCCTGCAGCGGCATCTGCCGCGTTTCATTCACACCAACTCCCTCAGCTCTCACTGAGCTCAGCTCAGGTGAGTCCCCTGGTAATGGTGCCATTTCACCCGCCCTGTCACAGTCACAGCTGATGGTCAGGAGGGAAGGGCCTCCAGCTGGTGGCTGGGATGGAGCATCGTCCAGGTGTGGGTGACCGCCCCTCCCACATGGATGATGGTGATGACTGTGTCGGGCACGGGCATCTTCATCCTCTCTCACCAGCCATTCCAGAAGGACATACGCTTGCTCCCCGTCATTCCCGCGTTCCCTGTTGGCGAACTCACCTCCTCGCTGAGATGCGCTTGTCACCCCCCATCGGTCTCCATGGCCTGTCAGGGGCCTGTCCATAGGGCGAGATCCTGGAATCGCCTGGTGTGCACATTTGCAGCTGCGGTTGAACAAGGCCTCTGATTCCTGCCTGTTTCAGCTCTCACACTGCACACGAGCGTCCCTTTCACAGTCCATTGAGTGCCATGGAGTCCTCTTCTCCTGCTTTCTGGTGCTGTTGGCTGTGAGCATATGACGCAAAGCGTCTTTTTATCTTGATTGGTTGACAGAAATGTGGCCAGAGACTCACAGGAACTGGTGGGGACAGTTGCAGTATACACTGCTCAGTGCTCGCGGGGGCTCCATAGGACATTATACCGCGAATCCTGAGAATTGACTGCGTTTTTATCCTTCTTTTCAAACAGATGAGGAAAGAGGCTCAGAGAGATTCAATAACTTGTTTGGGTCAGTCCTGAGTGTAGTGGCCCAGTCAGGATTCAAATCCAGGTCTTGTCTCAGCCCAGAGGCCTGACCGCGGGAAGCCTTCCTTCGCACAGCCTTGTTTGAATATGTTTGGGGCTACAAAGTCAGGTGCCTGCGGGGCCAGGCAGGTCCAGCAGGTGGGGAGGGAGTGTCAGCAGCAGGGCAGGCCCTCCTGGAGAATACACACCCTCTGAAGGCAGTCAGCTGCGGGGCAGACCCGGGCTGCCAGGTCATCCTTTTATTTCTACTTTTTATTATTATTGTTATTTAATCCTCATCCCAGGATACTTTTTTCATTGCCCTTCTGAGAGAGTGGGAGGGAGGGAGGGAGCGAGGGAGGGAGGGAGGGAATGATAGAGGGAGAGAAGGCCAGGTCCCAGCCTGGGGATACTCTGCCTTTGCCCAGCTCTTCCCCCTCAGAGCAAAGATGTTCTGATTCCATGTTTTTCAAAAGTGTTTCAGTCGAAGAACCCTTTTTCCAAGGAGGCAGACATGCAAAGCTCAGTGTCCTGCTCCTAGGAAGTGAGTTGATTTCAGCAGCAGGAACTTCAACACAGAACAGGAAGCTGCTCTTTCACGAGTGGGGAAAGCCATGTGGAGCAGTGACCAGTGTGTGGGGCCCGCACCTTCCCCTCTATGCCAGGTCCCCTGTGCGCACCTCCCTCCCAGCTCTGAAAGAATTTAGAGTTTCTTTCCGGCCTTCCTCGGGGTTATCCTCTGAGGGATGGCGAATGCCAGCTGCCATCTCCTGTTGAAGGGGCAGAGAGTCTGCATTAGAGCCACTGAAGCAGGACTATCAGGCTGTGTCTCCAGGTTTCAGGACCTAGAAAGCCATGTTTCTGTTTTGGGAAGGAAGCGTGGGCCGGACGCGTGGGCCGGACACCTGGGCCAGCACCCATGGTCTTCAGTCACAGGAACCTCTTGGTCTTCCCTACATTCCTCTGGAGTCTCTGGACGCCAGGGTGGTTCTCAAACACGTTCCCTTCTGCAGAGCAGCAGCCCCGGTGGTGGGCGGCTCGGTCCCCGAGGCTGCGGGCTTCCGTCCAGCAGGCCTTCCCCTGCGTCCGGGCCTGAGCCCCAGGAGCTGGGCCTTCAGATTGTCCTGCCCCAGCCCAGCCTTGAGGGCAAATCACCATGAATCCTGCAAGGGCTCTCTGTTGACATCACAAAACCACATAATTTCCCACCCTCCTCCTGTCCCTTGTGTTGGCGGGGACATTGAGGCCTCGATGAGGAAAGTACTCGAGTTGAGTCAGCACAGTGTCGCTCTGTGGCAGAGCCAGGATTAGAACCAGCTGCGGTTCTTCTTGTGACATTAGAATGCCTCCATTTCCGGTTAGCTGCACTGTATGACCCTGTAAGTTCACTGTTTTCATTGATTCGTTTTGATTTTACTATATATATATATACATATATATGTATATATTTATATGTATATGTATATATATTAGTATATTTTAACTGAATTCAGAGAAGAAGGCTGAGGGTGAGAGAGAGAAACATCAGTGATGAAAGAGAATCATTAATTGGCTGCTTCCAGCACACCCCCCACCGGGAATTGAGTCTGTAACCCGGGTATGTGCCCTTGACCAGAATGGAGCCCAGAACCCTTCAGTCCATAGAGTGATGCTCTACCCACTGAGCCCAACCGGCTAGGGCTATTTTAATTTTGCTCAATCCTCACCTGAGGATATTTTTTCATTGATTTTAGGAGAAAGTAGACGGGAACAAAGGGTTGGGGGGAAGAGAGAGAGACATCAATGAGAGAGACATCAATATGAGAGACACATTGATTGGTTGCCATCCAGCACACGCCCCCAGTGGGCCCAGGGATAAAACTGCAACCCAGGTACAATCCCTTGACCCAGAATCAAACCCTTGACCCTTGAGTGCTTGGGCCACTGCTCTAACCCCTGGGGAACACCAGCCAGTGTCCACTCTTTTTCATCCACATGGCCCACTGGGCCCACCCTGTTCCCCCCTCACCCAGATTCCTCAGTGCCCGGAAGGGGCTAAGTCTGCCCGCCTGTCTCACCTATTGGGAGCTCCAGCGGGAAATGAGGAGGCCCTGACTCTCCCTGACATGGCCCTGGGATGCACAATTGCCAGCACACCTAGATGAGCACAGCACCTCTCCCGGTGCCTCCCGGTGACGCAGAGTGGAGGCTGCATGGGAGGTTCTGTTTCCCGAGAGGCTAGTGCGGGTTTCTGCGACAAGGAACGCTTCTCCCGTCCATGGGTCTGTGCCAATGAACTGCCAATGGTGCCCCACGCCCTGAGGCCACATGCGATGATCCTGGTGCTGGCGATGCAGATTCGTGGGGAACCTGGTGCTGAACCCCAAGGGAAGGGCCGCTTCCCCGGCTGAGGGGCAGTGGGGGTTGGCAGTGTCCTAACCCTCTACTCCTAATAGGAAAAAGCGCTGGAGTCGAGCCAGAGCCTTCCTCAAATTGTTCCAACGCCAGAGAGACCACACACGAGGACAAGCCAAGTCACCCGCAGATGGCCGTCCTGGGCCCCTGGAGGCCACCCCATCGTGCTCATACTGGGAGGAGAAGGGAGACGCCCGCAGTGGGCCCCCACCAAAAGGTAGGAGGGGCTGGCCTGGCTGCAGGAGGGCAGTGAAGGGCAGGATCTCAGGCCTTCCTCGAGGTCAGGGCAGAACCGACGAGATGCGAGCTGGGTGCGCACACGTGTGCTTGGAGCCTGAAGGGGGCTCCGCACGCCCCCGTCTGCCCCCTCAGGTGTGTGAACACCCAAGTAGAACATGTAAGCCCACGTCACTGTGGTGGCAGTTTCATCCAGAACCATTTAGCTCCTTCAGCATGAGGAGCCTCCCCATCACGTACACTGTGGTGGGTCCTCGGCTATCCAGAGCGGATCTCCAGACAGTTACCGCGGAGACACGCTCAGGAGAGGATGTGTTTGGGGCTCCTTGTCTCTGCCAGGCCTCGGATTAGCCATTTCTGACGGGGGAGCCCCCATGTAACCTGTCGTGGACATCTGCCAGGCCTTCAGCCAGGCTCGGGCTCTGCTCTTGCTGTTGCTCTGAAAAGCAGGTGTGGTTCTCTTCTCCCACCTGGCCTGGCCCTGAGTCCTCCCACCAGGGGGCGCTGGACCTGCTCATTGAGGGCTGTGATGGGAGTGAGCCATTGGGTCCACACTGGATTTGTAGCTGCATGTGCTGCCTGTGTTTCCTGGGATCTAAGAGGCTGTCAGCTGTCAGCTGCCCGATCTTGTGCTCATAGAAAGAAAGTGATCGGGTGGTGGCAGTGAGGGTTTTGTCAGAATCGCCACCAGCCGACAGTGACTGGGAGGGATGCTCCAAGCTGCACCCTGATTTCAGAGATGGAAGGTTGGACGGGGGTGGGGTGGGGGTTCCTCTTAGAACCAATTAAACAAAGCCATCGACTGAAAGGTGGTTTAGTTTTCACATTCACTTTGAAATATCATTTTATTGATTATTTGCCTATAATCCTGCCAAACATGCCCCCTGAGAAAGTTAACAATTTGATGAAGGACACTAGGACTTTCTGAAGACGGGGCCAGGCCCGAGACTCGTGGGCTCCCAGGGGCTGGGGTGACAGGACCTGACAGGACCCGGGGCCGTGACAAGGCGCCCTGTGGCTGTGACGGGGGCAGCAGCCATTCCGGGTGGCAGTCACCACTGCAAGTCCTGCTGTGTCACTCGAGATGCAGAAATGAAGTGTGCGCACGCAGACACACTGTCTGGGGGCTGCTGCTTGCGTTCCCGGTCTCACAGGAGGTGAAGTCGGGGAAACGCTCACGTGCAGGTAAATGATCATGAAGCTTACTGCCTTGTTAGCATTGGTTTTCTCCAGAGGGTTCTGTGGCCTCGGGTTTTCATACTGGCTCCTCACACTTTTGGACATGTATCACGCCCACTTGTGTGATTGGCCAAGTTGATGAATGAGCTATAATCAGCCCAATTGAGTCAGCAAAACCTTCTGAGAAAAAACTGCTTGACAGATCCCCACTGTGGTTTGGATCCGTGAGTGAGCAGGTCAGGGGCTGCAGTGAGTAACGGCAGCCGTGCGAGGGGGCTTTCTGGGCTCAGCAGCCTTTCGGTAGTTGACCCACTTTGTCCGTCTCCTTGAGTTCTAGCTGCCATGGGAGGTCGGCTCCATTCCTGTCCCCCTTCAGAGCTGGGAGGGGAGCTCAGGAATGCTTGACCAGGGTCAGCACTGGCCCAGAGAATCAGTGTTGGAGCTGGGACCCGAACCCGCGTCTGACAGGTTCCGGGGCCCGAACTCTTCACCGCTGTGAGCACTG